TCTGTAGCTCTGCTCTAAAAGAACGTACGTACCTGGGCCCGCCTACTACGCTCGCAAAGGTAAAATGATTGGCTGGAATCCAAAGTGTGTGACATCTCAGGGAAAAAAAAGCACCGAAATAAAGCATCGAAATGTGCGCTGCTTTTCAGTCTGGTTACTACCGTTTATGTCAGAACCCATCCCTACATAAAAGATGAATTATTGCAGGTTGAAGGGATTGTGAATGGAATATTGACTGTAGCCAAGCAAGCCTCTGCAGGTTGGAACCTTTTGGAGAAAATGTGACTATTTGAATGTAGCCTACAATGCCTTGAAAAAGTATTCATACCCCTTGGACTTTTACACATTTTGTCACTTTAAAACCACAAACTTAAATGTTTTTTTATTAAGATTTTGTGTTACAGACAAACACAAAATAGCACATAACTGTGAAGTAGTATGAAAATGATGCATCGTTTTTTAAAATTTTAAGCAAATAAAAATCTGAAAAGTGTGGCTTGCATTTGTATTCAGCCCCCTGTACTCTGATACCCCTAAATAAAATCCAGTACAATCAATTGCCTTCAGAAGTCACCTAATTAGATAATAGAGTTCACCTGTGTGTAATTTAGTCACATTAGAAATACACGTGCTCTGTGTTTCTTGTTAGAGAACATTACTCAACAAACAGCATCAGGTCAAAGTTGTACATAAGTTTAAGAATTAGGTAAAAAAAAATATTCCAAGCTTTGAACATCTCAAGGAGCACTGTTCAATTTGGTGATGGCCAAATAAAGCTTTCTGAAGCATTGAAGCTTGTGTTGAAAAAGGTTTCATTACTCGAAGCTTTTCAACACAGTCTTCTCTAGTGACATCTGGTGGCCACAAATATGAAGAGCAGCTTGAATCTACAAAATAAAATGTACTGCTTCATTATGATTGCCCACTCTACAGAGTGGAATTCTCAGTACTGTGGGCCACCATTGTTTTGCTTTGAACATGTATTTTTGGGGGGGTGAAAAAACTGTCATGTCTATTTATTTAATAAATAAATGTGATCAATAAACGTTCCTTATTTAAACATGTGCCATGATGTGGTCTTTCTTTGCTTGTGACTTCTTGATGTTGGTAAATACAATAGATGAAAAATTCATATAATAATGTACAACACATTATGGAGGATTCTTCTGGGGGCGATCGTGGCTCAAGAGTTGGGAGTTCGTCTTGTAATCGGAAGGTTGCCGGTTCGAGCCCCGGCTTCGACAGTCTCGGTCGTTGTGTCCTTGGGCAAGACACTTCACCCGTTGTGGTGGTCAGAGGGCCCGGTGGCGCCAGTGTC